TATGGCGTGTGGAGTCAGAGTGGACTGTGACATTGAGAAATAAGCTGCTGTGTTGAAGGTCACTGAGATGTGGGAGTGGCTTGTTTCACGGGATCTAAGATGACCGCATAGAGGTAGAGTTTCGCTTAGTCCCAGACCTGAAGGTGTCCACAGTGTTCCCTTGTTGTCTATGTCAGCCTTAGTATAAACAGTATTGGGCTCACATCCTTATGGACTCCTGTGTCTGTGAACTATTTTTTCCTAAAGTGATATCTGAGGTCAACGTGTATGCTCACCTCTTTGACAACTGCTAAATTTGGCTTGTGGGGAATTTACAAGTATAACACAGAGGTTGTTCGGTATTAAAAGTGAATGCAGCATCCATGCGTTCCATGGCGTAGGTGAACGGTGAAGAGGATGCAGAGGAAAGCACGTACCAGGTCATGCGTTGCCACACAAAGCCCAGATTAGGCCGGCGCATACCCAGAAGGCAGACTGGGTCTGCAGGGGCCTGAGGAGGTGGGGAGGAAGGAGTGACTGCTTGGTGGATCCTGGTTTCCTCCTGAGATAATAAAACGTTCTGCATTGAGACAGTGGAGATGGCTGCCCAACTCTGCAAATATCATACAATCGCTGAATTGTACCATTTAAGAGGATGGGTTTTATGGGGTATGAATTATATCCCAGTAGAGCTGAATGGTAGGAGAGACAGTACATTGAGTTCTGCACAGCCCTCGCCCGAGTTCCCCTAATGTTCTCAACTGGGAAACGACCGGACAAATCATACCGCAGTTGTACTGTGGAATATTAAAAATGCAGAGCAGCAGACATGGTGGGATTTGTTTTCTAAGAAGAAATTGTTTAAGCCAGATGTGGCAGTGCATGCCTCTGATCCCAGTGCTTGAGGGGGTGAGGCAGGAAAACCAGGAGTTGACGAAACACACATTGTGAAGCTGAAGAGACGGCTCAGCAGGCTCTGCTCTGGAAGAGGACCCCAGTGGTTCCCAGCACCCTCCGTGGCCGTCTTACAACTACAGTTCCAGGGGTGATGCCTCTGACACCACGGCCTCCACTGGTACCTGCACTCCTAGTTCCCCTCTGCCCCCAGGCATGCATATGTATATATAATGAAAATAAATTCTTTAGAAAAAAATCTGTTTAAAGGAAATCAAAATGCCTCGTATGTGGGTGTGTTTGTTTTCATGTGTTTGAAATAGTACACAGAAAGTAGATCTAGCACATGAACTTGATATTTGGGGCCTAGCAACATGTTCAGTGTGCTCCTCTTTCTCCTATGGTTCTCTTTGTTTCCTAGCTTCTCTGGGGTTGTGGATTGCTGGCTGGTTATCCTTTGCTCTATGTCTAAAATCCATATATGAGTGAGTACATACCATGTTTTTCTTTCTGTGACTGGATTACTTCACTCAGGATGGTTTTTCTAGTTCTATCCATTTGCCTGCAAATTTCAAGATGTCATTGTTTTTTTCCTCTGAGTAGTACTCCATTGTGTAAATGTACCACATTTTCTTTATCCATTCTTTGGTTGAGGGGCATCTAGGTTGCTTCCAGGTTCTGGCTATCACAAATAATGCTGCTGTGAACATAGTGGAACAGATGTCCTTGTGGTATGAATGTGCATCCTTAGGGTATATGCCTAAGAGTGGAATTGCTGGCTCTTGAGTAGGAGAGGAGAAGGGGAAGGGGAAGAGAACATGGAGGATCAGGAGAATTGAGTTGTGGGAAGAACAGAGGAGGAGAGCAAGGAAAGAGACACCTTAATAGAGGGAGCCATTATGGGCTTAACAAGAAACCAGGCACTAGGGGGATCTCCAGAAATCCACAAGGATAACCCCAACAAAGAATCTAAGCAATAGTGGAGAGGGTACCTTAAATGTCCTTCCCATATAATGAGATTGATGACTACCTTAAATGCCTTCGTAGAGCCTTCATCCAGTAGCTGATGGAAGCAGAAGCAGAGATCCACAGCTAAGCACTGAGCCAAACTCCTGGAATCCAGTTGCAGAGAGGGAGGAGCGATGCTGGGGAAACCCACAGAAACAGCTGACCTGAGCAAGTGGGAGCTCACGGACCCCAGCCTGACAGCTGGGGAACCAGCATAAGACCAAACCAGCCCCCCTGAACTTTGTTGTCAGTTGGGGGGACTTGGGTAGTCCATGGGACCTCTGGCAGTGGAACCAGTATTTATCCTTAATGCACAAATGGGCTTTGGGAGCCCATTCCCTATGGAGGGATACTCTCAGTTTAGATAGATGGAGGAGGGCCTAAGTCCTGTCCAAAATGATGTGACACACTTTGGTGATCCCCATGGGAGGCCTCATCCTCCCTGAGGAGTGGATGGGGAGAGGGATGGGGGGATGGGGGAGGAATGGAGGACTGGAGGGAAAGGGAACTGGAATGCAAAATAAGATCGTTTTTAATTTAAATAAAAATTAATTTTTAAAAAGATGTTCGGTATGTAAGGGTGCTTGCTTGGCCTGAGTTCAATCCCTGGTTCCCACATGGTAGAGAGAGAACCAACCTCAGCTAATTTGTCCTGTGACCTCCTGGCATACATTGTGGCTTGCACACACATATGCAATAAAAATGCTTTTAAAGGGGGTTTGGAGAGGTGGCTGCTCTTCCAGGAGTTGATGTCCCAGCAACCACATGGTGGCTCACGACCATCTATAAATGGATCTGATGCACTGGCCTGGCCTGCAGGCAGAGTGCTTAAACATTACAAAATTATTTTTTTAAACCACAAAAAATGCTTAAAAAGCAAAACACCCAAAACTTAATGCTTGTTACTGGAAAAGTTGAGTGGAAAAAGAGAGACTGTATATTTTTTTGTGTTTTGTTTGAGACAGAGTCTCATGAGCCCAAGCTAGCCTTGAACTTACTATATAACCAGGATTAGCCTTGAACTCCTAATCTTCCAGTCTCTAACTCAAAAGTGTTAGGATTACAGACATGATGCACCACGTTTGATTTGCAGTTTGTTTTTATAACCCCTCCCTATTTAGTTTAACTTAGTAGGTAATAGCATGCAATTTTTCTAATTTCTCATAGCTTAAAAAAAGATTAAAGGAGCCGGGCGTTGGTGGCGCATGCCTTTAATCCCAGCACTCGGGAGGCAGAGGCAGGTGGATCTCTGTGAGTTCGAAGCCAGCCTGGTCTACAAAGTGAGTTCCAGGACAGCCTCCAAAGCCACAGAGAAACCCTGTCTCGAAAAACCAAAAAAAAAAAAAAAAAAAAAAAAAAAAAGATTAAAGGAAACATAAGACAAGAGCCCATGTGTAAAGGGAAGCCTTCCCGCCAGCCTGGTTCCAGAGCCACATCAGTCCCAAATAAACACACAGGAGGCTATATTAATTATGAAGCTGTTGGCCTCGCTTGTTTCTTACTGGCTAGCTCTGATTTAAGTAATTACCCCATAATTGTTAATCTAAGTATGTCTCTTACTGGAGAAGTTTCCGGGCTTCCTACCCCATGGCGTTACATCTTGACTCCTGAGTTTCTCCTTCCCAGAGTCCTCCTGGACTCCTAGTCCCACCTATCTTGATTCCCTATTGGCCAGCAGTGCTTTATTAACATATACACAGGACTTCCCCAACATCCATGCTAGATAACTTACCTCTGGTTTGTAGATAGCTAGCTGTTTTGTGTGTGTGTGTGTGTGTGTGTGTGTGTGTGTGTGTGTGTGTGTATGTGTGTGTGTGTGTATTTAAGATTTATTATGTATACAGTGTTCTGCCTACATGTATGCCTGCATGCCAGAAGAGGGTGCCAGATCTCATTACAGGTGGTTGTGAGCCACCTTGTGGTTGCTGGGAATTGAACTCATGATTTCTGAAAGAACACCCAGTGCTTTTAACCACTAAGCTATCTCTCCAGCCCCTAATAAATCTTTTGCTGTTGTTTTTTGTTTTCCAAGACATGGTTTCTCTGTATGGCTTTGGAGCCTATCCTGGAACTCACTCTGTAGACCAGGTTGGCCTCCTGAGTGCTGGGATTAAAGGTGGGCACCACCACCGCCAGCTGGGCATTAAGAGCAACATGCTCTGGGTTCTGCGCATGTGCTCTAAGGACAGGCAGGGCATGACGCTCAGAAAGATGGTGGTGGGAGTGATGGGGGTGCAGTAGAAGTCATGGATCCTGGCTCTCTGTCTTCAAGATTTTAGGATATAGGTACTTCCTAAACAGCTCTGTGATTCAGTTTCCTTACCTTGAGATAGTCTCTTTCATTGGGTTGTCGTGAGGGCCAATGAGGTCATGTTTGTGGGGCCCTTAATGTAGCGCTATCATACAGTGGCTCCTAAATTATGGCCATCATCGTCATCATTGTCATCACCATCATCACCATCACCTATCATAGATATTTCTCAGTTGCTTGTGACATGTGGAAACTGACTATAAGGCCTATAAAGGGGCAGTGATCTCAATTTTGACTACTGTTTTTTTCAGACACATAGTTTGGGGTACTCCTATGCCAAACTTGTACTACTGCAGTTAATAGTCAGCTAAAATAGAAGATTATTTCCCCACCTCCCTTGCAGCTAGATGCAGCAGAAGTCTTAGGCTAGACTTCCCCTCGAAAGCTGCCCTCATTGACTTCTTTCTCCTGACTTTCCTACTATCTGGGTCCCATGATTCATAGCAGAGCCCTGTGAAGATTCTGGATCCTGAGCAGCCTTGAAGGAGGATGCTAGACCCTCATGATGGTGAAGCAATGCACAGAAGCCCTCATCTCGGTACCCCTGAAGTCACCATGGTCACCCCAGATAGCCCTCCTTTGGACTTACACACAAGAGAAAAATAAGCCTGTCTTGCTTAAGGGTCTTTTCTGGGTTTTCTGTAAAGTGAAGATGAGCCCTAACTAATATACTTCTCATAGGACAGTTGACCTGGGAGGCAATGCCTGTGACTAGGAGTTAGGACGGAATGATCGAGGAAGTACTTGTGCCTTTCCCAGGGCGACGTAAGGGCAGTAAGGGCAGCGTGAGGCCGGGCTTGGAACTTACTCGTCACCGATGTGGAGCCTGGGCCAGACCTCGTTGACGTGAGTGTATTGGGGGCTGCCCTTCCAGAAGAGGCGCTCCAGCTCGAAGGCTCCAGGGGTGCAGTAGTCCTCAGCCTCTCCCTCCTCCTCCTCCTGCAGGGACAGCCTCTTGGCAGAGGGGTAGGCATTCTTGAGGCTTGTCTTTGTATCTCCTGATGCCATTTTGGAGCCAAGGGATTTTCTTTCCTTTCTGCATGAAAGAAGGTCAGAATGGAACAGTGGTCACTATAGAAGGAGGTAAGGGTGGGGTTAGCAGGGGATGGGGGGCATTATAGGAGGTGAGGGTGGGGTTAGCAGGGGATGGGGGGGTATTATAGGAGGTGATAAGCAGCAGAGCTTAATTTGGTGAGAGTGCCCCCCTTGCTCACCCCAGGCCATACAGGTAAATGAGGAAGGCCATGATGACAGTTAAACGACACTCCCCAACATTCCAGTGCTAACACAGTAAAAGGCCTGGGGCCTGAGGTGAATTACAGCACACCCAAGAGCAGCACTGAGCCTCAGAAACTCCCCTAGGAAGCCAGCCCCCCCCTTTTGGTATGTATGTATGTATGTATGTATGTATGTATGTATGTATGTATGTATGGTTTTTCTGAGATAGGGTTTCTCTGTGTAACCCTAGGTGGCTGTCCTGGAACTCGCTCTGTAGACCAGGCTGGCCTTGAACTCAGAGATCTGCCTGCCTTTCCTCATGAGCATTGGGATCAAAGGTAAGTGCCACTCCCTCCCAGTCACCTGCTTCTTTTTTAAATTTTTTTAAAAATATTTCTTCTATTTATTGTGTATACAGCCTTCTGCCTACAGACAAGCAGAGGGCACCAGATCTCATTACAGATGGTTGTGAGCCACCATGTGGTTGCCGGGAATTGAACTCAGGACCTCTGGAAGAGCAGTCAGTGCTCTTAACCGCTGAGCCATCTCTCCAGCCCCTTTTTAAAATTTTTTTTATTAACTTATTTTTTACATTCCAATCCCAGTTACCCCTCTGCTCTTTCCGTTTCCCCAACAACCTCCCATCTGCTCTGAACTAGACTCCCTTAATATAGGTGACAATGGTGCGACTGGGACAATGTATGAGGCCACTGGCAGTGGGTCCAAAGTGCGTCCAAGATCTAACTCTAATGCACAAACTGACTTAGTGGAGCCCATTCTATGTGGAGAGACACCTTGCTCAGCCTAGACACAGTGGGGGTGGGGGAGCTGGTGCCTTGGTGTCCTCCCTCAGTGACGTGATGGGACAGACTTAGTAGACTTCCTAGGGGAGGCCTTATCCTCTCCTGCTTCTTTCCTTATTTGACTGGAAAGTGCTGGTTTGGGGCTTTTTGAACCTGATTAGGGAGGCGTTTCTGCAGGAAGAGACTGTCCAGCAGAAAGTGCATGTGGCTGAGTCTAGATCCGTGAGGCTTTGGTTTTGGACAACCATTCCCAGAAGCGGGACGGGGGAACCCTGGGCGGAAGACAGTTGTCTATGTGAGCATCAGTCATCTTAGTTGGTTTCCCAACTGTCAGACTGGGGGTCCATGAGTTCCCACTTGCTCAGGTCAGCTGTTTCTGCAGGTTTTCCCACTGTGGTCTTGACTCCTTTGTTGGTCACTCCTCCCTCTCTGAAACTGGATTCCAGGAGTTTGGCCCAGTGCTTAGCTGTGGATTCCTGCTTCTGCTTCCATCAGCTACTGGATGAAGGCTCTAGGATGACATTTAATGTAGTCATCAATCTCATTATAGGGGAAGGGCATTTAAGGTATCCTCTCCACTATTGCTTAGTTTCCTAGTTGGGGGTCATCCTTGTGGATCTCTGTACATTTCCCTAGTGCCAGATTTCTCTTTAAACCTATAGTGGCTCCCTCTATTGATGTGTGTCTTTTCTTGCTCTCCTCTATTCCTCCCCCCACTCAATCTTCCTGCTCCCCCCTGTTCTCCTTCCCCCTCCTCTTCTCCCCTCCTCTTTCTCCTATCTTCTTCCCCCTCCCCCATGCTCCCAATTTGTTCAGGAGCTCTTGTCCCTTTCCACTTCACTGGGGGACCGTGTATGTCTCTCTCTCTCTTTTTTTTTTTTTTTTGGTTTTTGAGACAGGGTTTCTCTGTATTGTTTTGGAGGCTGTCCTGCAACTCGATTTGTAGACCAGGATGGCCTCGAACTCACAGAGATCCGCCTGCCTCTGCGTCCCGAGTGCTGGGATTAAAGGCGTGCGCCACCAACGCCCGGCCAGAGATCTGGCGCCCTCTTCTGTCATGTAGGCATTCGTGCAGGCTAGCTTCTCTGGAGGTGTGGATTGTAGGCTGGTAATCCTTTTCTCTATGTCTAATATCCATATATAAGTGAGTACAAACCACGTCTGTCTTCTGTGACTTCACTTAGGAGGGTTTCTAGTTCCATCCATTTGCCTGAAAATTTCAAGATTCCATTGTTTGTTTGTTTTTCCCATTGTGTAAATGTACCACATTTTCTCTATCCATTCTTCAGTTGAGGGGCATCTAGGTTGTTTCCAGGTTCTGGCTATTACAAATAATGCTGCTATGAATATAGTTGAACAGATGTCCTTGTTGTATGAATGTGCATCCTTAGGGTATATGCCTAAGAGTGGAATTGCTGGATCTTGAAGCACACCGGTTCCCATTTTCTGGATTTCCAAAGTGACTGTACAAGTTTGCACTCCCACCAGCAATGGAGGAGTGTTCTCCTTTCTCTACATCCTCTCCAGCATAAACTGTCATTGGTGTTTTTGATTTTAGCCATTCTGACAAGTGTAAGATGATATCTCAGAGTTGTTTTGATTTGCATTTCCCTGATGGCTAAGGATGTTGAGCAATTTCTTGAGTGCCTTTCAGCCGTTTTAGGTTCCTTTATTGAGAATTCTGTTTAGTCTGATCAGTATAGTTTAACCACCGTTCACACACACTGCATATACTGTGTCAGGTATCACAAGTAACTCAGAGATGATTTAAACTCTCCATATGCAAACATTGAACCCTGCCCACTTTTGAAACAGGGTCTCCTATAACCCAACCTGGTCTCAAATTTACTATGTATGGTGGAGTGATCCTGAACTTCTCATCTTTTCCCTCCACCTCCATAGTATTGACGTTATAGGCCTGGACCACCACGCCCAGTTTATAGGGGACTTAGGATCAAACCCAGGACTCTGTGCTTGGTAGGCAAGTTCTCTCCCAAGCCAACTGTGCCATTTTACAGGAGGGACTTGAACATCTATGGATTTGGTGACTCCAAGGGTCTGGAACCATTCCTCCATGGGTTCTGAGGGAGGGCTGTGCTTACAGGACACTTTTTTTGTGACAGGTGCTGTCGTTCTAATTCTTTAGAATCACCTTAAATGCCCTTCCCCTATAATGAGACTGATGACTACCTTAAATAGAGCCTTCACTCAGCAGCTGATGGAAGCAGAAGCAGGGATCCACAGCTAAGCACTGGGCCGAACTCCGGCAATCCAGTTGTAGAGAGGGAAGAGTGATGAGCAAAGGGGCCAATGCTGGGGAAACCCACAGAAACAGCTGATCTGAGCAAGTGGGAGCTCAGGGACTCCAGTCTGACAGCTGGGGAACCAACATAGGATCCCAGGCCCCCTGAACGCGGGTGTCAGTTGGGAGGCCTGAGCAGTCTGTGGGGCCTCTGGCAGTGGAACCAGTATTTATCCCTAGTGCACGAATGGGCTTTGGGAGCCCATTCCCTATGGAGGGATATTCTCTTAGCCTAGATGTGTCAGACTTTGATGATCCCCCATGGGTGGCCTCACCCTCCCTGAGGAGTGGATGGGGAGTAGGATGGGAGCTTGGTGGGGGAATGGGAGGACAGGAGAGAGAGGGAACTGAGATTGGTGTGTAAACAAGATTGTTTTTTTAAAAAAAACTTAAAAAAGAATATGACACAGCCTGGGGGCGGGGCTTTGATGAAGGGGGTGGGGAGAATCACTAACCCAGTCTTAAGCTCTCTGAAAGGTGCTATTATGCCCACTTTACATTTGAAAGAAATGGCTCGTTGAAGATGCCTGGCAAAAGCAGCTTTAGCAGCTGAGAGGGAGGGTGGTGGGGGCCACAGCTCGATAGAAGAAATCAAAGACTATTAGAAAGGCCAGAGCTTCAGAGAACATCAGATGGAAAACTACGTAGAATGCAACTTGAAAGGTCCCTGCCTCTTGGAAAAGGACATTTTGGACTTACATACTAAAAATAACTCCAGGCGACTCAAACACATGAAACACTTAAATGGTAAGGAAACTTAAACCAGGTTCACAGTCTGGAGAGATGGCTCAGCAGTTTAGAGCCCATACTACTCCTTCCCAGGGCCTGAGTTCAGTTCCCAGCACTCCTGTGTCATGGCTCACAACCGCCCGGGGCCTTGAGTTCCCAGGGGTCCACTGCCCTCTTCTAGGCATTGCCAGAACCTGCTCTCCTGTGTGCATTCTACACACACACACACATAATTCAAAATAAATCTTTAAGCTGGGTATGATGGCAGTTTAATCCCAGCACTGGGGAGGCAGAGGCAGGTGGATCTCTGAGTTCAAGGCAGCCTGGTCTACAGAGTAAGTTCCAGGACAGCCAGGGCTACACAGAGAAACACTGCCTCACAAAAAAAAAAAAAAAAAAAGTAAACTATTCACAGGTGAAATGATATGACATCTAGAATTTGCATCAAAACAATATAGTTGGAGGGCCAGGGAGATGGCCCAGCAGGTAAAATGCTTGCCAAATAAGCCTAGAGGCCTGAGTTCAATTCCTAGGAGCCACATGAAGGAGGAATGAAATGGACATCAGAGAGTTGTCCTCTGACTTTGACGCATGTGCTGTGTATGTGCATACATAAAATAAAAATATTGAATAATGCAAAAATACAGTGTTGGAGGGAAGGGTATTGATGGAGGTGTGTGAAGCAGGATTGGCTAGGGATGGTGACTCGGTGTGGATGTTGGCTGCAAAGTAGCTACTTCTGGCAGTTCAAATGCAATTGGCCCCCATAGTCTCATAAGGAGTGGTGCTATTAGAAGGTGTGGCCTTGTTGATAGTTCAAATGTTATTGATCCCCATAATCTCATAAGGAGTGGTGCTATTAGAAGGTGTGGCCTTGTTGGAGTAGGTGTGGTCTTGTTAGAGGAAGTGTGTCACCATGGAGGCGGGCTTTGAGTTCTCATATATGCCCAAGATACTGTCCAGTAACTCAAACAATCACTTCCT